GTTGAGCTATAGGCGCCGAGCCAGCTAACTTTTAAAAAAAAAAAAGAATTCAGAGACAAGAGTCTCACTATGTTGTCCCAGCTGGTCTTGAACTCTTGGCCTCAAGCAGTCCTCCCACCGCACCCTCGCTCCCAAGTCACTAGATTTTTGGCATCAGCCACCATACCCAAAAATAAGTTGGGTTTTTTTAACCTAAATTAGAGTAATAACAAAGCACTTACTTTTTAAGAAATTCATTATTTGAAGACCCAGAATTTGAAGATGAGAGGACATAATGTTTATTTTAGCTAGTACAGATTTCTGGAATTTAGAACATGAATCATTAATGCAAAGACTGAAAGACTTTCCATTCTGTTGTCTCTCGGAACCATTAAGAGTAAACTAAAGTTCTGTTTGTTAATAATAAAACAGTGCCAAGTAATGTTGCCTAGCTCATGCAGCAGATAGAGAACTCGCTTTTAGATCTGGTTATTTTGGAGACCAGGTTTTGAAGTGTGATTGTAGATTCATTCTAGAAGTGGATGCTCATTCCTATCTCATGATGACAGTTTTCTTATGTTAGTTAATTTGCCTGTGTTAATTTGAACCTTTAAAACAGTATTTTTGGGGATTCAGAGTTATAACCTAATTACTTTATCTGTTAAGCAGGCTAACTTTCAATTTCATAGTATTTTTTTGTTGTTTTTTTTTTTTTTAAGACCAGGTCTCACTAAGTCACCCTGGGGTTGAGTGCCGTGGTGTCACAGCTACAGCAACCTCAAACTCTTGGAGTCAGGCAATCCTCTTCCCTCAGCCTCCTGAGTAGCTGGGACTACAGGCGCCTGCCACAACACCTGGCTATTTTTAGAGACAGGATCTTGCTCTTAGGCTGGTCTCAATCTCCTGAACTCGAGCAGTCCTCCCACCTTGCCCTCCTAGAGTGCTAGGAATTTCATAGCATTTTAAAATAATGGAATCTTTTAAAGTAAAGGAGATCATTTTCTTTTTAAAATATATAAGATAGCACCCTTGGCCAGCTCGGTGGCTCACACCTAAAGTCCTAGCACTCTGGAAGGCTGAAGGGGGTCCATTGCTTGAGCTCAGAGTTTGAGACCAATCAAGCAAGAGCAAGATGTTATCTATACTAAAAATAGAAAAGCTAGCCTGGTACTGACTCACACCTGTAGTTCCAGCTACTCAGGAGGCTGAGGCAAGAGGATTGCAGAAGCCTTAAGAGTTTGAGATTCCTGTGAGCTATGATGCTAGGGCACCTCTACCCAGAGCAGGGGTCCTCAAACTTTTTAAATGGGGCCAGTTCACTGTCCCTCAGACCGTTGGAGAGCCAGACTGTGGGCCTGGGACCAGTTGGCTGCTAAACAGGACAGGCAGCAGTGGCAAAAATACCTGGTTAGCCAGATAAATGTCCTCGGCTGGTGGGCCACAGTTTGAGGACACCTGACCCAGAGTAACAGAGTGAGACTTTGTCTCACCAGCAACAAAAAAAAAGACACTACCCCTGCCCATCCTATGAAACTAATAACTTCTTAATGTGTTACAAATGTTTTCATTATATAAGAAGCAAACATTTATTGAACATAATATGAATGTGAAAAACTTTTATGTTTTAGAATTTGGGTAATTCCAAACAGCTCTCAATGACTCACACCTCTAATCCCTCACACCTCTAATCCCAGCATTTTGGGAGGCCAAGGTAGGAGGATCATTTGAAGCCAGAAGTACAAGACCAGCCTGAGCTACATAATGAGAATGTGCCTTTACAAAAACTAAGAAAATTAGTTGAGTGTGGTAGTGTGCGCCATAGTCCTAGCTACTTGGGAGGCTGAAGTAGGTGGATCACTTGAGCCCAGGATTTCTTTCTTTCTTTTTTTTTGAGACAGAACCTCGAGCTTTCCCCCCTGGGTGGAGTGCCGTGGCATCACAGCTCACAGCAACCTCCAACACCTGGGCTCAAGCAAGTCTCCTGCCTCAGCCTCCCAAGTAGCTGGGACCACAGGCGCCCGCCACAACGCTCAGCTATTTTTTGGTTGCAGCCGTCATTGTTGTTTGGGCCCAGGTTGGATTCGAACCCACCACCTTAGGTGTATGTGGCTGGCGCCTTAGCCACTTGAGCCACAGGCGCCAAGCCTGAGCCCAGGATTTCAAGGTTGCAGTGAACTATGATTGGACCACTGCATTCCAGCCTGGGCAAGACCTGTGTCAAAAAAATTTTTTTTGATAATTGCCCCAAAATACTACTTTTGGTATTTAAAAATATGTTTGAGTTATACATGAAGTATGCAAGCTTGCTGAGTTTTTACATATGTATATCTACATGACTACTACTCCAAACAAAGAACAAGACACAGAACATTCCAGCCCCTTGACGGGCTCCCTCCTGCACGTACCAAGTCTGTACCCACCACCCATGGTAACTGCTGTCTGAGCCGTGTTAACAATGTACCGGTCTGTCCTGTAATTTCCTGTAAATGGGATCATACAGAACATAAGTGTTTGTATCTAGCTTCTTTTCCTTTTGCCAGGTCCAAGCTTGCCCCAAGATGTATCCAGCGTCTTGCATCTTGCACTGTATCTGTCACATGGTGTGCCTGGAACACTAGTTTGCTGTTATTTATTGATGTGCAGATTCATTGTGTGACAAGGCAGCAGTTTATTCATCATATTGTTAATAGACGTTGGGTCGTTTCCCATTTTTTGAGTGCTGTACAATGAAATGACCATGAGCATTTCTGTACAAGCTTTTAACAGATATATGCTTTTGTTATCTTGGGTATTCCCTAAAATTTAACATTTAAAAGCTACCCTTTACCTCACACAGTGATAAGTAATCTTAGTGCTCTGGGAGACTGAGATCAGAGGATCACTTGAGGTCAGGAGTTCAAGACCAGCCTGAGCAAGAGCCAAATCCTTCCTCTACTAAAAATAGAAGAAATTAGCTGGTCATGGTAACAAACACTCAGTAGTTTGAGGACTGAGGCTCAAATCCTTGAGCACAGGAGTTTGGGGTTGCAGTAAACTATGATGATGTCACTGCAGAAAGCTACGTGTCTGTTATCTGTTTCCACGGATAATTCCAACAAGATTATCTTCTACCTTAATCTATTTTAGACTATAATGATAAACTGAAACTATCTGTGAATGTCAAATAATCTTTAAATACCTTATTAGCAAAACATTATCATTTCCAGGGCAGCTCCTGTGGCTCAGTGAGTAGGGCCCCGGCCCCATATACCAAGGGTGGCTGGTTCATACCCGGCCCCAGCCAGATAGCAGCAAAAAATAGCTGGGTGTTATGGCAGGTGCCTGTAGTCCCAGCTACTCAGAAGGCTGAGGCAAGAGAATCACCTAAGCCCAAGAGCTGGAAGTTGCTGTGAGCTGTGACCCCACAGCACTCAGGGCGATAGAGTGAGACTCTGTCTCTGACAGAAAAAAAAATTATCATTTCTGGATATCAGCATTTGTAGTTTCTTTGGGATTTTTCAGTAATTGGTTATCTGAGGAGATTAGCACACGATATAGCTGCACTTTGAACTATGTAAGCCAGTAGTAATGTTTCAGCCGTGGAAATGTTCTGTTCTAATATTAGCATCCAGAGAAGCTGTATTTTTTTTATAGCCGTTTCACTGACATTTGTTTGGAAGTGTATCGCTACTGTAATTTTTTTTAATTCTTTTTTTCTCTTTTTTTCTACAGCCCCCTTTTATCCAAGCATAAGGTAAAAGATTGTTTCTTTTGAAAATATTTATGGGGAAAATGTTACTATGATGTCTGTTATATGGACTGTTCTAGAAAATAAATCTTTCTCAAGTTATTTTCAGCTTTCTAGTTTAATGTAACAGTTTCTAAAAAAAAAAAAAAAAAAAAAAAACATGTTTTTTGTTTTACTTTTTAGATAGGAGCTGTAGAAAAGTCCCTGGGAAGGAAGTGCTGCACTCAGTTAATAGCGTCTGAAGATCCGAAGGAAAGCGGAGCCGCAGCCAAAGAATCAGGTATGTTTTTCTTTCTTTTTTTTATTTCAGATGAATGTGAGGATTAGGTTACAATGTTTGTATTTGTTAGATAGAGTCCCTCTTGTGGTTGTGTCCCACACCCAAAGGTGCACCAGATACCCATACACTGTGCCCATTAAGTGAGACCACGCACAGCCCCCTCCTGCCTCCCCTCTTCCTTCCCTCCTTCCCCAGAATCAGGTTCGTTTTCCTGGTAAGTTAGGTAGAAATTCCAAAGATACCTGCCTCCCATAATATTTCACAAGCATTACATCTGAATTGCTAGAGAGGAACTTTTTTGTATTCGTGTTTTTGTATATATACCTCTCCTAGAAAAATCGCAGAGCAAGACTTTTTTTTATGTAGTATAGCTCCATTTTTTAGACACGTAGTAGATACTATAAAATTATTCTTTCTTTTCAGTAGATGGTTATATGTATCTAATAGAATAAGAAAAAATTGTACCTTGAAGGCAGCTTGAAGCAAATCCCCCCAAAAGAAAGAAATTGTACAATAGTACAATTGAAATAGACTTGGTTTTTGGTGTATTCAAACATCATTTTCTGCTTAAAATCCAACATTGATTTTATGGACTTGACTAGAAATTTGTTCTGTAAATCTAGATATTTAAAGCTCTACATCTTGATCATTTATTTCTGGCAATTTATTGTCTTTCCTTTTTTGTTCACTAATCTGTGATGTGCTTTGTACACTTCAAAAGCATTTATGAGGTATTTTATACCACCTGTGGCTGTGTCAGAAGATTTTTGAGACTTTTCTCTAAATGTTGTTTAGAAAAATGTATGTTGTTCATTGTAAAAACTTGAGAAAATAAAGATAAATATGGTTCAGGGTGTTTTCTTTCCCCTGATGTCTGATTTTATTACCAATTTTTATGCTTCTGGGCGTGAGACCCCTGATAGTGAAGAGGAAGTATCAGGTGTTTGGAGTGAGTTGCCCTTAAGATAGAAGATAATGATGGTATTGTTAGTTTAATTAGGGTTTAACTCTTTACAAAGTACTTTTTAATTTTTTTTTTTTTTTTATAGAAACAGAGTCTCACTTTATTGCCCTTGGTAGAGTGCTATGGCATCACAGCTCACAGCAACCT